TGGGCCGGCCACGCCAGTTCCCAGTGCCAGCATCTGCGGCAGGACAGATGTCACATGCAATTGCTTCCATCTAACCCACTACCCCAGATTCTCCTCCGGAGGACGAACGCGGCCCTGGCACCGCCTCCGTGGTTCACCTGTGACGGCGAGAATATTTTTTTAGGGTGAACTGAGCAACGATGGGGGCTGTACCAGGCTCTCACCTCTGGATACTGGTACCCTTTGCTCAAGCTGAATGGTGGGGCAGAAGATCCACCCCCCAAGCACGTCTCCCATCTCAGAAAGCATCCTCCAGCACGGGAACAGAGCTCACTTTCCCACTGCATTCAACCCACAGCGATGTTTTTCACCCCATGTCCCTTATCAACTCATTTTCTCATTTCTGCCCTTTCTTCAAGGGCTTCTGCCATCTCTCTCCTCAGCAGTCGCCTTTTCTCTGCCAATGCCTGAGCTGTCATCTCCCTCCTGGCCTCCTGCCTGGCCCAGCTGCTTTCCTGACCCCATTTTCAGACAAGGTTAAGGTCTAGGCCAGGCTCTAGCCTTTAAGCGGCCTTGACAAGGGTGGAAATATCCAGGTTCTTTCATTGTGGTCCAAGTCACAAGGGCAGCTCCCATACGGGCTGGCAGCTGTGCTGCTCAACGGGCTCGAGCCAGCGGCCAGGAGGTAAATAGCTCCTCTCTGCTATTGGTCCCGCAAGCTGTTGCTTTCTCGTCCTCCATCGCTCTCATTTCGGCGCTCTTGGCTTCCTTCTGCTTACTTCAGTTTCCAAGTACTGGAAGTGCCCGCAGCACCAGCGCAAGCTGATCTCCCCGGGCAGCGATGAGGCTAAGGTCTAGGCAGAGGCATCCAGTCCAACGAGCTGTAGATCACCGCGACGGTGATCTGAGGCAGCGACGCCCGAGACCCCCCTCCAGCTTCATCCACCCAACAGTGCAGTGGAGCAGCGAAGGGAATCTGTCTCCTCGCTCCAGGCTGGAGAGGAGGGCCAGGAGGAGCCTCCTCAAGAGGACACCCTGGACCCAAAAGCTGCAGCAGGGCAGGCTCCATCAGACAAGCTGCTGGAGAATGGGACTCCAAGGCAGGCTTGGTGCATGAGCTCAAAGCAAGCCATCGTGCTGCCTTTGGCCAACCATCCCCTGGGTGCTGCTGGGCACCCAGCACCACCCCTACCCTCCACCCAAGTGTTCATCACCTCGATGAGCTCCCCAGCTCACCGACTGCACCCCCAAGGCACGCCGGCTCTAGGCACGGAGCTACGGCGACTTCCAGCACGAGACAAGCAGCAGTAATTTTAGCTTTGCACTAAGCCCTAACTACCACGTTTAAAACTCGGGCAGTTTAGCCACGTGGCAGCCGTTTGCCCTTTCTGCAGAGCAACGAGCAGCTTTACGCGTCCGTGTGTCGCTGAACACCACCCAAAACAAGAAGCCTTCCTTGCATCAGGAAGGACCACAAAGGCTCTTCCGGAGCCCCCATGTCCCTTATCTAGTTTGGTGAGGGATCGCGGTCCCATCACCCTTGTCCAACTGCCATGCACCTAACCCTGCCAGCCCTGCCTGACCACCCGCCCGGCAGTAGGGTTAGGAAGTTGTCTCAAACCGTCCAGGTCTTGCATTGAAACACCGATGCAGTTGCAAGAGCCTAAAAGGCCCTTTCCAGCTGTTCTGGTCCAGCGACGCAGGACAGACATCTGCATCTTCTCCCGCAGCAGCTCAGACTGACAGAAGGAAGCCCGGGCTCTGCTCCAGCCACCGCACTTCCACCTCCCCTTCCTGAGCTGGGCTCACACCAGCGATCGCAGCATCGGCAGGGTCAGCTAGGCCACAGGAAGGCTCCAGCGCCTCTGAAACACGGTTCTGGTCCACTTCCAACGAGGGTTTTTGCAGAAGCTGGAAGTGGGGACCCCCACCTGCACGGGGAGCCCCGCAGCCCCTCCAGCCCTGCGCAGCCAGGCCCTCCCGGGAGCCAGTTTCTGTCTCAGCACAGACACGGTCCCCATTTCCTAGCGAATGCCACCAGGAAGCTGGCAATTACCCTGGAAGCATTTTGGATTGCCAGCAGGACGTTTTAGGCGCGGGGGGGTGTGTGCATGTCAGTTCGTGGCCATAGGAACGTGCCCAGCATCTATCGAGCATTCAGACCCCGTCATCTTCTTGGATGGCATCTTCATGGAAGACGTCCCTCTGCAGGCGCTGGGCCGTGAGCTCCTCCGCCCCTGCTGACCGAGGTCCTCCTCCTTTCGCCGCTGCTGCAGTGCTATCCCTCTGCAGACGTCCGCCCGGGGAGGGCAGGAGAAGGGGGCGTGAGAGCTGGACGCCTGGCGCCGGGCCACGCTCCATCACTCGCTCGCCGGGGGAGACTGGGGGAAGCAGGAGGCGGGAGGCGGGGGGGAACGAACAAAAACACAAGCAAGGAGTGACTTCATCTTACAAGGCAGCTGCAACTTCCTCCGTTTGCAGGCTTTCCAGCTTTTCAAAGCCACGCCACGGTTTCCTGTGGTCCTGTCTTGACACCCAGTGGTCATTCAGCATGCAGGCAGCTGCCCCCTTCCTGGTGCGAATTACGGCTGCAGCTGGCTACAGGTGCCAGCTCTCGCCTTCCTCCGGCTCCAGGGCCGAGCCAGACAGCCCGAGCAATTGACGGAGCACCAGGCAGATGCCCAGGGCTCCTCTTGGCCACGTACAGCCCCCCCAACCCCGTGCCAGTCCCCCACAACAGGTGCCACGGCGAAAATCTTCCAGGTCCCGACGCTGGGCCGGCAGGGAGGTCACACAGGATGGGGAAACGGGCTGCAGGGCAGGTAAACCCCAGGACGAAGGCTGGCATCTCCCGTTTAAAAGGGCTTAGGAGGGCTCAAGAACAAGTCCCTCTGTAAAACCAGGTCTCTTAGAGACGTGAAGGGTCTCGCCTGCTGTCCCGGATGGTTTTCCCTGGTGCTCGGGGATCTGGCAGACGGCTTCAGCTCAGGCAGCCGTTCTCCTCCTGGCTCTCGGTGACACTGTGACCAAGTGACTCCAGCTCTCCCTGCTTCTGCCCCCTTTGGTCTTCACTCCCTCTTCTCCCCCGGGTGCAAGCTCTTCAGCACAGAGACGCAGTTATCACTTCTCCTCCTGGACTTAGCACCTCTCCTTTTCCTTCCCCTTCCCACTTTCGGCCCTACGCACGCCCAGTTCTGCACCTGCTAAACTTTAAGGGCTGAGCAGGGCCAGGACGCAGCAATCACCGGAAAGCCGGGGGAAACCATCTGACAGTCATAAAACGAAATCTAGGCGCAAATGAAAAGATCTGTGCTTTCAAGAGAGGAAAAAGTTAAAGGCATCATTAAGGCGAGGTTTGCAGGAGTGCAAAAAAGGAACAGAGGGGTCCAGACCATCAACCTGAAAAAGCTGGCGCTTGCATTGCTCTGGGATGCGTTACGATGGGCATCACGCGTCAGCCTTGGTGGTAGGATGGCCCTAGAGTAACGCATCCTATTTTGGGGACCACAACAACAAACACATATACGCATCAGCACAATAAAAGTGTTGGAAATCACAGCCTCCGAGGAAGGGGGCCGCAGGAAGCAGGAGGAAAGGAAAGGTGCCTTATAAGAGCGGATGGGTTTGTCCCCAGATTCACCGACAGCTGGATGGGAAGAAAGGTATTTGCGGGAGAGATGATTTAGAGGAGATATCGGGAGAGGTCATGCTGGGCACGGAGCTGCTCTCTGCAGGCGCGGGGCTGACTAATGCCACGCAGAGCTGGCAGGGGGACAGGCTGGCAGCAGGCGCTGCCGAGCCCCCTCGCCTCTCCGGCAGCTGGAGCTGGACGGTGCGGCCCCGGGTACAGCCCCACAGCACCGTGCCGTGGTGGGCTGTCAGGACTGCAGCTCGGAGGGCTGCGGTCCCCAGAAGCGGGGTGCCCAGAAGCGGGGTCAGCGCTCTCCAGGCTCTTCTGCCAGCCCCAGATGGTTCACGTACCACCTTCTCATGAGGTCTCCACACCCCTGACAGAGCAGCACACCGCTGTTCCTCTACCACCGTTCCTCTGCAAAGGCAGGAGGGAACAAAATGCCTCCTATTTTGGCCAAGCTAGAAGAGCCATAACCAAGTCAACCATCCACCTTGTCCCCACCTTCACCCTATCTTTCAGCCCGAGTGCCCAACCATGGGAGCTTGAAGACAGGCGAGGGGCAGAACCTCGAGCGCACAGACACTCACTGCCTCACCAGACCTCTCCGGGGAGCTTTGCAAGGTAACCTGAGGGGGGCAAACACCTCAGTTTACCATAAAGTCAAGACATTTTGGTGCAGAAGCATGAGAGAGAAGCTGCCAACTCCTAGAGCAATCCCCAGTCATCCACCCCACTGTGACCCAAGAGACCCCAAATGTTTCCCAGCCCAGATCATCCTTCCGCGCAGCTCTGTCAGCATCTGCCAGTCGTCGTCTGTACCCCGAGAAGCTTTCCCTTCTTCTCAAGCCCCTCTGAAGCAACAAACAGACCCTACCTGGTTACTGTGAAGACACTGCTGTTGCTGAAGTTGGAGTCACCGGATGCATCCAGAGAGCCTGGGGGCAGATAAAAAGGAGCCACAGTTAGTGGGATGGCAGGGAAGGCGGAGAGCAGGACTGGGAGGCTGGAGACATCTGCAAAGACATCACCAGCCATCGTTTGAGGGTCCAGGGACCCCGAGGATCCCTTCTGCCTGCAGTGAGCTTTTTACATTCCTTGTCAAGCTCTTCTCCACTGCTAAAGGTACTGGATGAAGCTGGTACAGGACTGCACTTACCCGGCAAAATGCAGGCTGCACAGCTTCAGACCTCTGCCCCAAACTGGGTCTCCTCCTCTGTAATGGAGACCCAGACACATCATTCTAATGGTTTCAACCATTCTTGAAGAAGAAGCTCGGAACTGCAGAGCTGCCTTCCATTGTCCACATTTCAACGGCTAGAAATACCACAGAAGCACAGGAAAGGCTGAATCCAACCCAGGACATCTCCACCTGGCCAGCTCTCCCGCAGCGTGACTCCACGTGGAAGCCAAGCGACCCAAACAGCTTTCCAACCTCTGCTCCCTGCTAAAACTGGGTCTTACAAGCACGGTGACAAAGCCCGACAGGATGAACTTGACTCTTCATGCCCCCTTGTGCCAACAGCCCCTACTCACACACACAGCGGCACCGCCACACCAGCACAACCAGGGAGCAGGGCTGAGAGTTTGTGATGCAAAAGCATCGCAGGTTTATCTGATCCTGCCTGCTTCAAGGTGCAATCCGATCCCGAAGGGGTAGAGATTAAAGCAATTAAATTTTCTGTTGATGTTTTAAAGCTCTTCTGCAATAGATTTTAATAAAAGAAGGCATTCTCGGGATGAATAGGGAATAAAAAAGAAAATGTTTTGGTGCTGTGCCACGGCACTACGTTTTTCCCCTCCAAAAAAGCTGCTGCATTGGCCGGGAATCGAACCCGGGCCTCCCGCGTGGCAGGCGAGAATTCTACCACTGAACCACCAATGCTGCCCTAGGAGCTGCCTGCACGCCCTGCCTGCCTGCTCCTGCCGGCCCCGGCAGGCTGCCCCACGCAGCTCCCTGCCTCCTCGTCTTCGACCCAGCTGCTGCTGTACAAGAAAACCCTTCAGCCTTTTAATTCTCGCCTTCTTGCTCCCTCTCACGGCAGGATTTTCCAAAAGCCGCTGGCTGATGCGTTGCAGAAGAGCACTGGGCTGAACGTGCAGCCCCAGAAGAATAAAATGGATTAGCCCACGTGATTTAAATGTTACACCTATTTCACACGCCTGGACAACAAAGATGCGACAGAAGTAGCGTCTAATCATCCCAAGACAACAGCATCAAAGGGATGCTGGAAGGCTAAAGCCGCTGCTGTTTTCAGGCCTCAGTCCTCCAGGACCCTCTCCATTTAGTTTCTTCTCCCTTGAACACTCTTCCAGGCCTCCCATCACACTTGCAACCTTTTGCCTTTTCTGTTCTGGAAATTTTAGGACTGGGACAATACCCGCATGATGGTCCCAAGAGCACCATGAATTTGGAAAGGACCCAAAATTCTTCTCCTTTCTGTTCTCTACCCTTCCCCAACACAGACAACCTCCACACGCGTGCTGATGCTCTCCAGGACTAACACAGCTCTCTCAGCTCTCCTTTGGGTGACGGTGGCTCCTCCCAAACCAACCACTGCAGGACAGGTGGGCTATTCTCTTCCCATGTTATGCAGCAGACACTAAATGTTTAACTATAAATGATCTTTTTCAGGTCAACTTAATGACTAAGTTGAAGTGAAGCGCGGTGAGGGGATGGGGATGCTCACCAGGGAACGCAGCACTGCTTGGGCTCCAGGCGGGATCAGTGACCCTGCTACGCAGACAGCACCAAATGTGTCTGTCTCAGCAGAGGATCATCTGTGAAACAGGACTCCAAGGCTCAAAGAAAGCACAGAGGTCCCATGTGCCCTGAGCTGCCCCAGGACACCAAAGCAACTCAAGAACTTCTCTTGAGGACCTTCCCTTGACCTTCCTCACACCTCTACTGGCTGAGACCAATGGGGACTCACCACTGGATGCTGTCTCCGGCTTGGAGATGGACTCCTCCGAGGTGGGCTCTGCCGGTAGGGTCATTGACTGCTTGGCCTCATCCATTTCATCATCCTCTGGGATGACCAGCTTCATCAGGCTCTGGTTGCACACGTTTGCCACCTCCTTGATGTCTGAGTGGAGGCAGTGTAAGGAACATGCAGTCCCACACACGGCTAGGTGCCACATCTGGCCAGCCACGGAGAAGCCACTGCAACCCCACCTGGGCTGCCCCAGCCCAGCTACTGCAACCCCCCTCACATCCAAAGGACCAGTGCGGGTTTTAGGACTTGGTGGGAGGACTTCTCCTGGCCTTCTCCAGCCGTGCAGCTGGCCCTGCGCCCCAGGGGCAGGAA